CGTGTATACACGCGTATACACACGCGCGAATACATTGAACACGTATACATTGAATACCCGCGCACGCGACACGTACCTACTACGCTCCACCGAGTTGCACGTGCGCGCACGCGCTCTCCTTCCCACACATCCGCATCTTTTTTCGTTCGTGTGCGCGAGGACAGGGAGGAGGGAGGGGGAGTGTGCACGTAGTAGAAGAAGAAGGCAGAAACGTAAGCAACGCACACGAGGAAACACGAGTTGTTGGCTGGCTTGTTCGCCTCGCGAGAGTTTGCTTTACGCGAACTATCCGTAGGTACTGTTACTTTTGCGACCAGGCCCTTTCGATCCCTTCCCCTCCCCTTCGGCCTCCTCGACCGTTTCGCTTTGTTTTCTTCTAAGTAGCGGACAGGTAACGAAGGGGATACTCGCGCGTGGTAGAGTAGGAGAGAGAGAGATTCGAATTTCGAGGAAACGGTTGCGAGAGAGAGAGAGAGAGAGAAGGAATTGGTCTTCTTTTTCTCTATTTTTCCGTGGCTCGACTCGAAACTCGTCGTGGGAAATAGCGGAGAACGAGTAAGTCGGTAGGAAAGTCCGTAGAGACTCGGTGAGATTCCAGAAGAAAGGAGAAATCACTTTTACCCCAGAAGCGAACGGATCCACGCGCCGGGTAACGAGAGAAAAAGTAGATCGCTGAATTCGGAATCGTTCGCGGCAACAACGATATGTATCTAGGAAGTTTGCAGTCGCATTCCTTTCGACTCGTTATGTACGTATAACGGTAGATGAAACTTACTTAGGCCAAACGTTAATTTTCAACGCTAATAATTTTTAATTCTCGCCTCGACGTATACCCGGATCGATAAAATAAAATTCCCCTCTCTCGGGATGAAAACCGCGAGATTAGTTTGGAGGGAAAGGGGACGCGATTTTGAAAGGAATGATCACTCGAGATTCAAAAGAGAGGGTTAGAAAACGTCACCGTTTTCGACGTGCTCTCGATAGTCATCTGTTACACGTTGGGATAGGTCGAGGCGGCGGGTACGGTGCACACGGCCGAGGAATTGGATCGTTCGGTCTACCGGGTGTCGCCCGACTACCCATTAGACGAATGTGCAAAAAGGAAAAAAGGTGGAACATCGACCATTGGTTTATTCATTTCGCTCGTTCGTGCGAGGAATTTCGAGACAACGGCCGACACAACGCTTCCGTATCCGATAACGGACAAAAAGGCCGCGATGCATCGCGCGTTGGACGCTGCAGTTGCCAGCAGTTGCAGAGTCACCAGGCACGGTGGAAGAAAATAAAGTCCCCTCCGCCCGTTGGCCGGCCACGGTGGTGGAATTACCGAGTGGTGGATGCATATGTCGCGCGCGTATAAATATTGCGCAACACGCGGCAAGAATCGAAGGGAAAACAGCACGACGTGTATTCCGTTACTCGGGGCGAACGACTGGCGGACTACTCGGTTCGCGTCGTATTTCTGCCGGCCAAACTCGCCAACGTTTTACGCGTTGTCGCCAACGAAAGAATCGACCACCTCGACGACGACGACGACGACGACGACGACGACGATGAT